TGTGCGGAATATTTTGGTAATTTCACTACACCAAAATATTTCGGACAAGTGTTCAAATTGTATCAGACGGGACAGTACAGAGCACTGTCCCATATTTGAAATTACAGAGCTTTTTTGGGAATATGCATATACGAATTTATATTCGAATTAGCTGTTACCCGCGACTTCGATAGGAAGGTTTTCCAAGCAAACCCCATTTATATTCAGTATTTTCACAACCATAGTAATTGTTATATAACACCTACTGCTGAGAATGATGAGAATTGCTGAGAATCAAACAAACTACAGCAGACCCCTATAAAACCGATTCCTATAATTACGATTCATATAAAACTGCGAAAAAATTGCGACGGTATCCGTAAAAAAAAGGTAAAAAAACCTCCTATAATTACGTAAAACGTCATCAGGCAGCCTAACTATTTTCTGCTGTCAAGTGCCACACTACGGAGAGTTTGCTATCGTCTGTGCAGTATTATATATAAATTATAAATAAATTAGGTACTGTACATATAATTATATATTAATTATATATAAATTAGGTACTGTATATATAATTATATATTAACTTTATTATAATTATATGTATTTTTCCGCCGCGTGGCGCCACGCTACAGAGATTTTAAGCTAACTATCGTCTGTACAGTATGTAAATTAGGTACCGTAAGTCTAATACAGTACTATAATTATATTCATTTCTTGTGAAAGAAACATTTCTTATTCAACGGCGATAAAAATTATTTATATTAATGATGTCTCCAAAGTTCAACGAAGTTTTCGTAGAAAAATAAGTTATTAGAAATCGGCCGCTGTTTGCTGAGCTGTTCCGAGACGAAAACAAGCTTGAACAATGGCGATGTCGAATGGTGCACACTCGGTAAGTAATCCTACAATTTTTTGTTTATAGCGTAGTTTATACGGATTATTTCCAAAAAAAATATACGTATTTTGGAAATGTTGAGTCGGATTAGTCTAGAATCGATTAATTTTATGGAAGAAAACCTTTCAATCAGCCGTAGTCCGTAAACTTCACACGTGTTCGGCTGTGATTGGAAGGACTCGTAAGAAATCGGATTTCTAAAGAATGGAACGTATCTATGATCTTATAGGGGGGTCGACTGTATTTTTAATTTGTTCAATTTTCTGGAACTTTCACAATCGTTCTATAATCGAACCAATATGCAATAACAAATTCTAAATTAAAACGGTTTGAACATTTCGTTAAAAAATCGAAATATAAAACATATTTATAACAACGTCTGAAAAGTTATCAATTTAATACTTTTAAGTACTCAATGAAGACTAAATGTAGTTGAAAACAAAAAATCGCATTTAAAATAGTACAGTATAAGCCGTTTTTCCGGTTAAACCGTAATGCTTTTCCTCTTTCCCTGCAGGGTAATTTCGGAAATTTCCTTCTTAGTGTGCATACCCATTGCGTACCCTACTAAAACGCAGTTAAAAACATAAAATCGCATCTAAAATAGAATAGTAGAAGCCGTTATTGTGGTTAAGCCTTAATGCTTTCCCTCTCTTCCGCGGGGAAATTTCGAAAAATCCCTTCTTAGTGTGCGTTTCCATGACGTACCCTAACTGCGTACCAAATTTCACCTCTTTAGGTTCAGCGGTTTTTCCTAAGCGATGATGAATCAATCAGTCAATAGTCAAAACAAGTAATTTTATATACAGTATTTAGATATACAATAGCAATCGTATCGTTTTTTTCACATGTATTGTAGAAATTTGTAATAAGATGCATGATGCGATTATGATAAAATATTAATTTTAATTAATTCAAAATGTGTTAAAATATGAAAATAATCGCACAATATGTATTAATTTTTTTAGAAAATACAAGGGAAGCGGTGCTTACACTGCTCCCAATGACGATGTGAGATTCGGAATTTTTACCGATTATTTTACCGACTATTTGTCGATTAATTGTCCCGTATTTGCTTAAAATCTAATTAAATTTTCCTTTAACTTAAAGTGAAACCTAACGGAAAAAAAAACTTTTCGTTTATGTTCGACCTAAACATCCGTTCAATTCGAAACTAATCCCACATTCCAACGCCAAAGTTGATAGTTAGCATGATCCCGGGAACAACTCTGACCCATCTGCGTACCTTTTACCTCACAACAATCAATCACGTGACCATTCTCCCACGGCGAACTTATAAAAACCCCTTCCTTCCCCTTCTCGGGGGAGTCGTTCCAGAGCAGGTGCCAAAAGAAGATAAATTTCAAATAGTGTCCTTTTTTACCAGTGAACTTTCCTAAATCCACGATTTAAATATTTAACCCGTGAACTTTCCTAACCAGTGGATTTTTAACCAGTGAACTTTTCTAATTCAAAGAGAATTGTCCTCAGTGGATAACAGATCAAGAGGTATGGAACCAATTATTGTAAGCTCTCTCTCGGTCTCTCCGCGTTTTAGGGACGCGAACTAGACGTTGTATTACTTGGTATAATAAATTGTTAATTTTCCTTATGTTATATCTGGCCTCCTCGTTTACTCGTATATAATAACCTGTTGCCGGATCGGGAGACCTACCCTTCCCTTCCCGGCAGTTCACAACGACAAGCTACTGATGCAAAATGTTCAAAATTGCAGTAAATTGTGCAAGTTTAAACGTTTGGCAATACGACGATTACTTTGCACCCAGGCTGACAAACATAGTTGACATATTAGTGTATGAGTTCACGTTATGCTAATTTTCTCATCATTATGGTGTACCAGCTTGTTCTCTTTAGTTATGTTGCATGATACCCGATAAAATTTTGTATAATTTCACACTTGTTTACTGATAACAGTTAATTACGAATAAAAATCTGCTTTAACACACACTTGAAGTACTCTTGTACATATTGTTTCAAAAAAAGTCCCTTTGGCTGCTAAAATTCGTTCAGACATTGTAAGGACTTGGTATTTTCTTGTTTATATTCAATGAGTAATATTGTACTGTGTAAGTAAACAAAATTGCTATATCTAAGTTTATGGAGAAAATTTGCAAATCATAAAAATATATACTGTAATTTATATTTTTCCTTTTTCGAATGAAAACATTGTGTCTGTTAATATCGTCAGGAATGTAACTAGTAAATTAGTAATTTATAATATTAATTTTACATTTCAGAACACACATTCGTTTGAACATGTGTGTTTGGAAATAAATAATCATTATTACGTAAGTTGAAACACCAATAAATTCATCAGAACCCCGTTGGAAACTATTGTCTAAAGAATTAAAAACATTATAAACTTTCCACCACAAAAATATTTCAAACACTCAATTATACTTTTCTAACAATTACTTTATTTGAATTTAAATTAAAGCATTTTAAATGTGTATTTTTATTTTCAAGTTTAATATATAGCACATAAAATACTTTGTTTAGTTTCTGTTTACAGTACACATTTGTAAAGTTAAATATAAAAATTTTCTAATAAATATTTCATCCTGATTTTTACGTAAAGCCATCCTGCCAACAAGAGTTTGTCAGAATGATTAGTAAAAACGTTCAAAACTTATGTGAATCTGATATCATAAATGATAGATAAAGATTAATGTTCATTTCTTCTCACTTTTAAGATTTATAAAACGATTGATATTTTCAAGATTCAATATATTTTTCTGACTTTGTATAATTTCACACTTGTTGTACACACTTTTGGATTGCAATTTGATATTTTTTTCGAAATTCTCTCTCCGTTAATTCTCTAAACATCTTTAAAACATTTTTCTGTAGCTATCTATATTGTAATATTTGAAAGATAAGTTAATTAGCCAACTTAATTATTATCAAATTTCTCCCGAAATATTGATTTCGTAACAAACAATTTGTTATCAATCCAAGGTGCTACCATTTCTACCTTAATACATGACATATTCTGTGTAAATTTCATTCATATAAAAATAATTATAATTATGAAAGCAAAATTGATTCTATATTAATTATTTCATATAATTTCTGTTAATTCTTGTCCAGACTTCATTTAATTCACAGTCAGAAATTTTCCACAACTTGAATAGAACATTCCAACCCATTCTAGACGAGGATAAAGCATACAGATTACTCGGATCTAATTTGAAAGTGTAGGCACCAAGAGTAAGTGACTGGCTCAATCTGGCTAACATACAAATCTGAAAAATATAAAATTTTATTAGTCACTTTATTTTAGCATGAAAATTTGATTTACTTATTTGCATATTATTAATGTCAAAATAAATTGTATTCACTTTATGCTCCAAATGAAAATTACATAGCGAATTGCAAACTGATTTGAGGCTGTGAATGAAAATGTTGTTTTGTGGTAATAGAGATATTTATACATTTGATCTACATATAAAACATAAAATAATACAAATCTGAAAACAAAAAATCAAAAAGTGTGTTATAATAAGGAATAAAAATAGTCAATCAGTACAAAAAATCGAAAGTTAGTTTTGTTATTAAAAGTCAAAAATAATTCTCAACACTTTAATACTACAAAATCGGTCGCTATAATTCGCTCATATATTGTTGTTACTTGATAATCTTTCTTTTCATCGTTTTATAAGAATTTATTATTTTTGATTCACATACTCTTACTTGAATAACGTACATTTATCTCTAATGTTACAGCTAATTGTTAAATTTCTTTTAGAACTTTCATTTCGAAATGCAGGGCTTTTAATTTTATAATTATTTTTGCTTCGCACGGTAAATTATACGCAGTTTATATTTTCACAAATCAACTTTGAACAATGACTTGACTGGGATGTTCTGCTATCAACTTTTCAAACAATCCTGATAGTGAACAGCTTTCACTATGAAAAATAGCGAGGTTGAAGCTGAAGTTTTAAGCGCGAAAACGTGTACGTCGGACGTTCGGCGCCGCTTTCCTGTAAGCCTAGAAGTTTGACAATGGTGTTTGGAATGTCGAGTATGATTCCACTGACTATCCAAACATCATTGTCAAACTTCTAGGCTTACAGGAAAGCAGCGCCGAACGTCCGACGTACACGTTTTCGCGTTTAAAACTTCAGCTTCAACCTCGCTAATAAGTTTGATGAAGTTGTAGGTTGAGACGATTGAAGAGAATCCTCGTAATAAACGTTCTGACTCCGGTTCAAGTGTAGTCCCGAAATTTAGCAAGGCCATTGAGCCTGTCCAAGTCGTAAAGACCTTCCTTTCGAGGTTCAGCATAAAAAACAGACTCTGCGTGATATTAATTAATTTCAAGCGTTTGTTGTATTTAATGAGCAGAAAAGCGGCTTCAAAACAAATTAAAATGAACGAACTTTTTAACAAATCATGAAATCAATCATTAATTTTGTCATGTTACTAATTGTTGTTTTTTTTAAAAGTTTGTAGTATTGCACTGAAGAGGAGCTTAGCATTTAAATAAGCCCGGAATGCATATGAGAAAACAATAAAAGAAGTGTCTAACCTAAAAGCTGTAATGATAGTCTACCGAATTTAATAGACATTCGGATTAAAGGGACATACATTCATAAATTTATATCACTTATCTAGTTTCCTAAATCTCAAATCTAGGCGAAAACAAAAAGAAATAGATTTAAATGAGAAAAATAGATGCTAAAGTCAAAGTACTGTTCAACAAGTGCTATAGACGTCGATGTTTTGATTTAAAGTAAAGTCGCGGCCGATAGTACCCGTCGTTGCCACCAAGAGCGGTAACGGCCACTCTATGTAGTATATTCTAGCTCGTTGATTCTATCCAACAACTTAAACAATCAGAAACGTCTTTTTTTTCTATGTTGCCACCAAGGCATCTCTTTGGTGGTGGTACCACCTTGTAGTGATATCGGACCTTCTCGTCCTCCCTCTCCGGGGGTTTCGTCGGGGCAGATGCGATCTATCCATCGACACAGGCTAACAAGGGGTCGTTAAGACCGGGGAAGAAAACGCGGAAAGAAGGAATTTTTGGGAGAGGAATTCGGGACACGAGAGGGAGAGGGAGTGCAAGTAGTGGTCTCTGAGACGAAATAAAGTTTTTTTTTGTGGAAATATTGGACTAGCTGGTTAATTGGTGAGACGAACCGACGGGGAGGAATCCGCTGATCACGAACGGGTTCCCTACATTGGCGCAGCCGACAGGATAGTGAAGTCAGATCGACAGGATTCGATCTGTGAAGAGAGTGATTATGAGCCAGAATAAGAAGAGTGGATCGGAACCGAGCGGAGTGGGTAATTGGGCACAGCACTAAGGTTTCAGGAATATACAAGGTTTACACCAGAGAAGAGGTAGGAAAATTTTGTACTTGTCGGAAACGAAATTCACGGCGGGATGCTAAGCATAAAGGGAGTTAAGAAGGAAGATCTACGGATCGTGGCGGAAGAGCTTTGTGGCACAATAGACGATAATCTGAGGGTATCGGAGTTAAGGGAACTTATTACGAAAAGTGATGATTTTGCTTGTGACCCAGATTTTGTACTGGAGATTTTGACTTCCACTGTTGAGGAAAGGAAACGGAAGGAGGAACAAGAGAGCCTAAAAAGGGAACAAGAGAGGCTAGAAAGGGAACGCCAGCACGAGTTAGAGCTGGCGCGGATTAGCGCTACTATTCAAAGCAGGGCGAGTAACGGTAGTCCCAGCTTTACGGACAGCCATCCGGGTGATGGGCCCGCCGGGAGTATTGAGAAATTGATTACGAGCGTGAAAACGTTAACATTGCCAGTCCCAACTAAGTCCGAAAATTGGAACCTATTTTTCGTATCTATAGAGCGAGCGTCCCAATCGAAGAATGTGCCGGAAGAGATGAAATCTGAGATACTGATCAATATTCTGGGAGAAAAGACCGCAAACATTTTGATTTATATAACCGGAGACGAGTTAACGGATTACTCAAGCGTGAAGAAATTAGTGTTACGAGAATACGAACCGTCCGCCCAATGCTGCCTGGAAAATTTTCGGAGTGCTAGGCGTAGGCCCGACGAGACTCACATGCAATTTATGTCGAGAATAGCGTCGTCTTCGGAATACTATTGCGAGTTGAGGAGAGTGAAGGACTTGGAAAGTTTAAAACGATTAATCGTGGCGGACAGATTATTTCAGACGTTGGATGTCGACACGGCGGCCCATATAAGCGTTCGTCAGGGCGAGGGGTGGTTTAACCCTATTAACATGGCGAGAGAGTGCGACCTATATTTTGAAAGCAAGGGAAAATCTATAACCGAGACGTACAACGAGTCGTGAGGATCGCGGCGTCTTCCAGAGTGCCAGGGTACTGGCCGGGAGTGCGATCCCCCACCACTGAGGGATGAGGGACAGAAAGACACACTCAACTATCGTCAGGAAATGAAACGGGGGGAGTGCTTCATCTGTGGATCAACGCAACATATTTCTAGATCCTGCCCGCAGAAGATAAGGGATACATCCATAAACGATAGTCGCACTCAACCCTCGACCGGTCGGAGACGGAACGACGTTGCGTTAGTGGGGAGTGTGAGGTCGGAACACTTTGACAAAAAAACTAGCAGCCATTTGAAGTCAGGCCCTAGTATTCAATGTTTACAATACGTTACGGTCAACATAGGTGGGCAAGATACCGAAGCCATCGTAGATTCAGGCACCCAAGTCCCAGTCTTGCGCCCCGAAGATGTTACCAGCTCGAATGACGGGGACTGGGGAACAATAATTTTGAGCCCAGCGTTTGGGGAAGAGATTAAGGCACAGACAGTAAAGGTCCCTATGGCTATTAAAGACCGTTGCAGCCAAACTTTATTATCCCCCGTAGAAGTCACGGTGGCACTGACCGAGAAATTGAAGGGCCCTCGTCTCTTGCCGCCTGGTATTTTCAAAGTGTTGGAAGGACAAGCTGGCGTGTACAGACTTCCTCACCTTCGTAATCGTGGGAGTGGAACAGCTGGTCGTGAACCAACTGATTGGGACCGAAACCGGTACTCGGATACGAGTGATCGATATGTGGGTCTTCACGATAAAGCATTGTTTCAGAGGACCGATAGTCATAATAGAAGCTATCCGAGCAGAAAAGGTTCTGGTGGTCGGAAATACAGTGACCACAAAGATTCTGGAAATATAAACAATTGGGAAAGCAATCATAAGCGAGGAGAAGCAGATTTCTCTAATTTTAGAAAAGGAAATCCAAAAGTTTCCCTGGTACACGTCATACATGACAGACAGCGAACGCGATCATAACTGGCGAGGTCCCCATGCTCCAAAAGATGCTCCAAGGAACCGCTGGCGCGACGGCATTCACGGAAGTAAAAGTGTCTGGAATCATCGGAAGGGTAGTAGACGTTCCGAGTACGACGACAATCGGAACAGGCAAGATGAACAAAAGACCAATAATCGAAGTAAATATTTAGAAGGTGGAAGTAGGAGGTACGGCTCCAGCGGCCTCCGATCTCGTGGTTATCGTCTGTTCGGCTGTGATCGAGGCTACACAGATCACATCGCAGTATCAAATAAATACTCATCTCCTGCTGTTGGTTACGGAAGAAACAACTATGATGTTCAGCATAAAGGAGACTATGGTGGGGTAACTGAGAACTCTCGTAACGTGTTGGCGACAAAGGCAGCAGTGGACCCATTTTGGAGGAATTTATGATACTTCCGATTCAACAGCGTATTTGTGGTGTTAAAAGTGACGTTTGTTTCGATATGTTTCGTAGTGATGAGAACTATCAATATAATTTGTGTAAAAGGAAAATTGTGTATCGTCTGTATGAACTTTTTGTATTGTATAAGTTTTATTGTAGCCTTTACTTTTTGAAAATTGTAGTTGAGACCCGTGTTCGGGTTCACACCCTAACACTTGTCTTGCGGCGGGGGTGTAGTGATATCGGACCTTCTCGTCCTCCCTCTCCGAGGGGTTTCGTCGGGGCAGATGCGATCTATCCATCGACACAGGCTAACGAGGGGTCGTTAAGACCGGGGAAGAAAACGCGGGAAGAAGGAATTTTTGGGAGAGGAATTCGGGACACGAGAGGGAGAGGGAGTGCGAAGTAGTGGTCCCTGAGACGAAATAAAGATTTTTTTTTTGTGGAAATATTGGACTAGCTGGTTAATTGGTGAGACGAATCGATGGGGAGGAATCCGCTGATCACGAACGGGTTCCCTACACACTAGGGTTTCTCATTTCCCGGTCTTTTGCTTGTCCCGGGATCCCGGGATAAAAGTGAACTGTTTCCCGGGATCCCGGGAAATCCCGGGATAGAATTAATTATTTTTAAGGTATACAAAATATCTTGAAATCAAATGATATAATTATTTTCCATTTTTTAAAGTAATTTTAAAGTTTTGTAACCTCCAAAATCATATTAATAATGCTGTGTTAGGTCTATAGGCCTATAATAAAAATTACCTTTAAATAACGTAGAAATTTTCACAAATAGAAAAAAATTAATTAAAGTTTGCTGGAAACTGCATACAACAACAACAAAAAAAATGTTCTGAATTGAGTTAAAAATTAAAAAAATGAACTTCTAATTTAGAAGGTAATTTTCGTTTTTTAAATAAAATATAATACAAAATATTGCAAACTTTTATAAGATTTTAAAAAGCAAAGATGGTCAATACTCCGATAACTCACTCTAATTCTTATTTTAGTAATGAAAAGTCTTGCCACCGAGAATGCCCTTTCCGATTCAATTGATGTGATTGGAATAGTGTTTAATGCATTTAAGAGAAGACAGATATTATGTGTTTTTTCACCTGTAGCCTGGAAGCTTTCGAGTTCGTTTTCGAGATTGTAGTACTTCTTTCGCTCTCTAGTATTCTTGATTTGTCTACCTTGGCTGCTTTAATAGCGGCATCAA